CTTTCCCTTGTAAGTAAAGAGAGTTTCTTTTAGGACTCACCATCTTTATTCAATTTTTAGGGTAGTTAAGGGTTCCATAAATTCTGTTTCATCTTCTTTGGGGATTCCAGAATTTAACAAAGTTTTTAAAAGTCTGTTATTGTCGCTGTAGGTTGAATCATCTTGATTGTTGTGCTGTTTTACATCTTGTCAACTTTGTTGTAGGGATTCCTCACTGTAAGTTAAATCAGCTTGATTTTAGTGCTGTCCTGCATCTAGCCCATTTTGATATTTAAATTCTCTTTCTCTATATGTTAGGTCATCTTGATTGTAGTGTTGTTGCACTTCTTGCACTATTTGGTGCTGGAATTTCTTTGTTGCTTGTAGTTTGGTTTGGTATATCACCTTTTTTGTCTAGTATTGGTTCAACAGCCTCTTTGACACCCAAATTGACTGCTTCAACAATTAAAGTCTTAAGTTCCTCCCATGACAACTACAACAGTCTGGTTTCTATGGCGCTATCTGAGCATATATCATCTGGCATTTTTTTCTGTGTGTCCTGGTCACCTATTTTAATGCAATAGCAGAAGTCTCAGTTCAGCCCACCAATGCTCAAAATCTCTACAAGTTATTCGTCCACAAAATCCTCAAGCTGACCGCATACACCAGATAGTGGCTCTCATAGAAGAATTCACAATCAAGAATCTTTCAACATCATTTATTTGCTTTGCAGATCTAGACACAATAAACTCCTCCGTTCTCAGTAATAACATGATGTCATAAAAAGTTGCCACAAGAAAAACTAATTCACCTCTAGAAATCTCTCTCTCTTTCTTTCTTTTTCTAAAGGAAACTGTGGTCCCGTTCACACTAGGTGATTTGGGTCGGGAGCAGGACAGTTCGGGGGCAGATCAAACAGGCGCGATCACACCACAACATCTGGGAAGCGTCATGCTTCCGTCCCCGAACTGGCCCTTCCCCGCGAAAATCCACCTCAACTTGCAACCACCTACCTTGGTGGTTCAAGGGGAAGCGGCGCGGCAAGCCGGGCGTTTGATCGCCGGCGCGTCCTTGCGCCGGCACAACCCCGGCCCGTAGCCGAACTGCGCATGCTCCGACATGCGCAGTTCGGCCGGCTCCCGGTCAGGGCCGTGTTTTCTCCCCGGCGTTTGAATCCGTGGGATCCCGCCACGGCGTCTCAACGTTGGTGCGGCTTTTAAAAGCCTTTAGAGGCTTTTCCCCTGCCTGTATAATCCTTTTGTAGAAGTTCAAACAGTAAGCTCTCTTTGCCCCAAGCGGTATTCAGATCGGCTTTGTTTTCATAAATCATCCCGACTGCTCCACAGAGAAAGGAGGGGGGAAATTTCACCCTTCCTTTCTTGTCCTTTCAAAACTTTAAAGGGGCTTAACCAGGCTTAACCAGGAGGTCATCAGTTTCTTCGATGTTGCTTTTACAGGTACTTACTTTTAAAAAAAAGATTTTATAAACTTTATTGAAGATCAAACAGTACATTTGTAAATCATAGCGCACATACATAAATTGAATCATGTTCATCGGTGTTGTGGATGAGGCTCAATATAACTCTCTTGCTTTCGGGGTGTTCACAGCTAGTGCAGTTATGGCTGCCATAACTGCTGTACTTCGTTGCTTGCTTCTGGGACGATTCAGGGCATCCACCTGCTTGTTGCCTCAAGCAGGGCCCCCGAATCAAGTCCCCTGCACCAGACCTCCCTCCAGGAGGTCCAGTGGAGTTTGGGAATCCCCCGAGAACTTCTCTAAAATAAATGAAGAGCCGGTGGTATCTGGGAGCAATTCCCAGTGCCAACCGTGTTCCTTCGCCACAGCCCCTCCTCTTAAAGTCTGTCGTTCTTAACCACTACACCATGCTGGCTCAAGCAGGGAAGTTAAACTTTAGGTCTGGAAGTGGGGACGTCTGAGCTTTGGTCTAAAATGAAATGTGTACAACTGATCCACTAGGCCTCAGAAAGTGCAAATGCTAATACAGAGGAATGGCACGCAAGGAGCAAACATTTTGATATTTCACCTAGGTTGCCAAAGTGTCCTTGGAATCTGTGGGGAACATGTGGGGATACTTGCAGACTTTGGTCTTATTGCCTCTAGATTTGGGTCAAGTAGTTGTACGTCCATGCAAGATTCTAGAATATAGAGCATTTGTTTTTCTTTAAATAGTGCTGTGCCAGGCCTACTGACCTGTCTGGCTATGGTAGCTTGACTCATTGCCCGACTCTGGGGCTGCTGTTCTTTGTCATTAGCTTCTTGTGATTTCAGAGGAAGCTGAGTTCTTCCCATGTTTTGTTTTTCTTCTTCCAGTAGTCCCCATGAATGTCAGCTGCACACGGACAGAATTTCAGATCCAGATCCCCACACAATCAGTGGCCCAGCTGGAGCGAAATAAGATATATTTAGGGACCCCATCCTGCTCTGCTCAAGTTGTTGGCTTGAACTTCAGGATACATGCAAGGTTTGAAACTTGTGGTACAGAACCACAGGTAAGTGACCAAGGTAACAAGACTATGCGTGTATTTACTCACACTACCATCTATTCAGCCCTCTGCACACTTTGCAGAGTGGGATTTATCTGCTTCTCTCTCTTGCTGCCACTCATTGACCCCCTCCCAACTTTGTTCATCAGGCGGGTTTCCCCCCCAAACTTCCACATCCACACAACTGGGACATGGTTTTCCTAGGTAGAGCCTGCCAGGGGGGACAGTTTAAGATAGAGGGGCAAATAAAGGTAGGTTGGCTGTCGAGTGGGAAGGTGATAGGGTTGCCAAGTCCAGGTTAGGAAGTTCCTAGAGATTTGGGAGGGTGGAGCCTGAGGGTGGTGGGGTTTGAGAAGGGGAGGGACCTCAGAAGGGTACAATTGTCATAGAATCCAAGAGGGAGGGTAAGTTGCTTCCTCCCCGCCTCTCCCCACCCCTGCCTGCCTGGGGCCAGGGAGGGCCTTGGCGGGGCTTCTTCGCACTCCCGCTGGCCTTGCAGGTCCACCGCCGGGCCCCTGATGTCAGGGGGTGTGGCATATGCTAATGAGTTATGCTAATGAGTTCCCCTAGCTCTTTTTCTACGAAATGACCCCTGATAGAATCCACCTTCCAAGGCAGCCATTTCCTCCATGGGAACTAGGGTTACCACCCTTTAGGCAGGGCTGGAGATAACCCAGAATTACAACTGCTCTCTAGATGACAGAGATCAGTTCCCCTGGATAAAATAGCTACTCTGGAGGCCCTCTCTCCCCTAAGTCCCACCCACCCCAGACTCCACTCCCAAATTTCCAGGATTTTCTCTACCTGCAGCTGGCAACTCTACCCACACAACAGTTGACCCAGCTTTACTGTAATTTTTCCCAAACCTTTGGAGCAAAGTATGTTTTAGAAAGATTAGAGAAAAGCTTGAGAAGCCCTGGAGACACAAGATAAACCCCCACTTCCCAATAACATTGAGCCCAGGACAGATAACCCATTTGGAAATGGCCTGTTTAATACTTGAATAGCATGAGAAACTGCAAGGCCAGCACCCAGTTGTAATAGCAAACTAATAAGTGATGAAACAGAAAAGCCATTACTAGGGGATAATACACATAAGAATTATTTTTTAAGAAAATTTCTTAGGATCCTGGATATTCTGATGGGCAGGGCAGTTGAAGTAGTGGAAAGAAGTATCTGCTAACTTTTAATTGCCTTTTCACATCCATTCAACTAGTGGGTTTTTAAAAATATATCAGAACCATATGAAAGTGAAGACAAATCATGGCTGCCCTTCACTACATTCTCTGCCTTCAGGATACCAGCTCTCATGTCAGAATGACAGACTAGGATCTAGAGGACTCCAATACAAATCCCCATTCAGCCATGAAATTCACTGGTTGACTTAGGATTAGTCACCTTTTATACCTGACCTATCTCTCATGGTTGTTTTGAGGATAAACAGGGAGGAGAGAACCTTGTACACTGCCATGAATTCTGTAGGAAAATGAGAAGAGTTTTTAAAATGTGATAAATATAGAAATTGTCATTGACAGTGTTCTTTCTGTTTGTCATTAACTTCATGTCATAAACTCTGAAACAGTGATCTATAAACTGATGCCTGGGTGGAAATTTAGAATACAAATGTAATTTTCTTTTGGTTGCTATGGGTTGTATTACATGTGATCCTTACTTAGCAGTCACAGAAAGCTCAACTGCAACTCAGGTGCATTCCTGAGGTAAAAACTTCCCCTCCCCCACTCTGGATGTGGGCCTGGTAAAGCAATTTTTCTGAAACAAGTCATCCTGATAATAAAAATATATATGCACTGCTTCATATGGGAAACTCTAAGCTCTTTACTAAGCAAAATTCTTCCAGATTTTTGCCATATGTTAAATTATCCTCACATTGTGCAAGAACAAACTGAGCGTATCAGTGCAATCCTAAGGAGTTGCATACTTCTAAGTGCCCTGAAGTCAATGATCTTAGATGGATGTAACTTTACTTAGGATTGTACTGTCAGCAGCCACACAGTTTTCCTGAGTGTGGGTGCCTTCTCCTTCTGATTTCTGAGAAAAATTGCTTTAGACTTGTATCATCAACAAAACCTTTGATGTTCAGAGATCATCAACTTTGAAGTTGTTTAAATCATTTGCCCAAAATCACAAATAGTAGCAAACACACAAAAAAAATTAGAAGGTATCAGTTGCTAGGTAGTAGACAGTCAGCACAGTCCCGAAGACTGCCTGGTCACTGGTGCAACAGTGGCACTGCTGGTCTGTTCCTTAAAAGGAACCCACATAGGCCAGGGACTGGGCAAATGCCCTAACAGCAGAGCAGCAAGGGCCAAAAGTTAATGGTTCCTCATCCTCTTGGAGAGGAGTGACAAGTGGAGTACCTCAAGGATCTGTCCTGGGACCTGTTTTGTTCAACATCTTTAGCAATTCTTTGGATGAAGGAATAGACTGAATGGTTATTAAATTTGCAGATGATACTAAATTGGGAGGGGTAGTAAATATGGTAGAAGACAGAGTCAAGATACAGGATGATCTTGACAGGCTGAAAAATTGGGCTAAAACAAATAAAATGAATTTCAGTGTGGATAAATGTAAATTCCTGCATTTAGGTAGGAAAAATCAAATGCATAATTTTAGGATGAGGGAGACTTGCCTTGGCAGTAATATGTGCAAAAATGATCTAGGTGTCTTAGTAGACCATACAGTGAACATGAGTCAGCAGTGTGATGTGGTAGCTAAAAAGGCAAATGCGATTTTGGGCTGTATCAGCAGAAGTATAGTGTCCAGATCACTTGAAGTGATGGTATTGCTTTACTCTGCTCTGGTTAGACCTCACCTAAAATATTGAGTTCAGTTTTGGGCATCACAATTTAAGAAGGATATAGACAAGCTGGAACATGTCCAGAGGAGGGCAACAAAGATGGTGAGGGGTCTGGAGACCAAGTCCTATGAGGAAAGGTTGAAGGAACTGGTACGTTTAGCCTAAAGAGGAGATGACTGTGAGGTGATATGATAACCATCTTCAAGTACTTGAAGGGCTGTCATATAGAGGATGGTGTGGAGTTGTTTTCTGTTGCCCCAGAAGGTCAGACCAGAACCAACGGGTTGAAATTCAATCAGAAGAGTTTTTGCTAAACATTAGGAAGAACATCCTGACAGAGCATTTCCTCAGTGGAACAGGCTTCATCGGAGGTGGTGGGCTCTCCTTCTTTGGAGGTTTTCAAACAGAGGCTAGATGGCCATCTGACAGCAATGCTGATTCTGTGAACTTAAGCAGATCATGAGAGGGAGGGCAGGGAGGGTTGCCTCAGTGCTTAGTTCTTGTGGCCCTTTTTTACATGCCCAGGGAAATGCTGATTGCCACTTTGGGTTTAGGAAGCAAGTTTTCTCCAGACCAGTTTGGCCAGAGATCCTGGAGGTTTCTTTATCATCTTCTGGGCATGGAACAGCGGTCACTGGGGGTGTGGAGGGGGAGGTATTTGTGAATTTCCTGCATTGTGCAGGTGGTTGGACTAGATGACCCTGGAGGTCTCTATGATGACCCTGGGGGTCCAGCTCTATTATTCTAAGCATGCTGTTGCATCCAGGGGATGTCATGGGCATGATGGTGCAGCAATGACAGATGGGAGGAACCAACCAACCACAGGGTGGTTGCCATGGGGAGCTGACACAAGAGAATGTGAGCAGGGGGGCAGGGAAGAGTGGGCCCACACACTTCTGGGCCACACCCATGGCACACACACCACCCCCTTAAAAGCACAGGCCCCCATCAAACAGAAGAGAGGTAGCAGCACAAATGAAAAGGGAAAGGGGACCCTCCCACTCTGCACATGAAGAATGATCCTAAGTAGGGACACCCGGACCTAAGCCCCATGTGCCGCACCAGGGCAGATCCTCAGAAAAGGGGCACGGGGAAGCAAAGTGAACACACGGCCAGCCATGAATGCCCACCTCTGCTGCCACTGCAGGTGCAGCCAGCTAGCTCCAACCATGTCCCCAGGCCCACCTTCTCAGGGGGCGTGGCATATGCAAATAAGTTATGCTAATGAGTTATGCTAATGAGCTCCGGCAGCTCTTTTTCTACAACAAGACCCCTGGCTCCAACCATGTCCCCAGGCCCACCTTCTCCCCTACTAGTGCAAGGGGGTTACAGTAGCTGCACAGTGCTGCAGCAGCATGTTCTGATAAAGGCACCCATTGGTTTACTGATGTACTATGGTTGGGAACACTATGGGATACATTCAGAATGAAAAAGATTCTTCACCAACTCATACTAGCTCATCATCAGGCCAATCATATTGATTTTCTTCCTGTCTGGCCTGCATCCATATCATGTGCAAGTCAGATGGAATCTATTGCATTTGTAATGCTGAAAAAAAACAAGCACAGCAAAAAAAAAAAGAGTGTGGGGGGATGCTTTACTCTGTTCTAGTGCTGTAGAAAGGTTGTTCTATTTTGATGTTATCACAGCACTGAACCGTGTTTATGTTGTGTGAAAATTCAGCATAATTCTGCTGCAAAACTTGATCTGTAAATCTAAGAAGCTGTTATGGGATATGTTGTCTATTGCAGAGTAGCACAATTGGTGACCCACCAAGCTGAGTGTAGTTTACGAGACATTGTATGGTGGCCTGCTAAGAACTATTTCCAGTTTTCACTGTTCATGTATAACGGACTGCAAAAACATTCTCAAAAAACAGGATCACGAAACCGCAGGGAAAATCAGGCAAAGCCGTGGGTCAAAATGCGGCCGCGTGGCTTAGAGTAGGAAATTGACCAATAGGAGCGGGGCAAAGGGAGGCGTGACCGCAGCACAGCTCTTGTGTGAAATCGGTCGAAGAGTTGTCAAGGTTGTGGATTGTGTTCAACCTGGCAGTTCACAAGCTAAGCAGATCTGGATTGTTGTATCCAATGTTGTCATATAGTTATTTAATCAAAAAAATTTTTTAGGATAAAATTAAAATTCTTACCTTGCAGAATTGAACAATAGTTCTTGCTTTGGAAGACTTACTCATCTATTGGTTAAGAATAAATAACAGCTCAAAGGCTACAGAGGTATACAGGTAAAAATAAGGAACTTCTTTGTCTTTTCAACCCCTTCTCATTTAGAAAAGAAATAATACATCCATGATCATCAGCATCCTGTATATTGATTTTTCGGATGGAAATCAGGAAGACATTCACCAGTATGAGGTGCAGTGTGAGCCTAAAAGGAAAGAGGCATCTGTGAATCTTATTTCCGGGTCTGATCCCTATAGGCTGAGCCAGTATGCTGAGAACCTGGAGGAGTCCCAACAGCGGGATGCCGAAGTGGCTGAAGTCTATGAGAGCAAGAGTCAGGACACCAGTGACATCGTATTCATCAGCATCTGCATCCTTGCGGGCGTTCTTATGGTAATTGCTATTGTTGGGTTAGTCCTGCTCTAGGAGTCTCATTGCTGGATGTCATCAGTCACTGAATGTGTCTGGGCCTGGACCCCAGTCCTCTTTGCACTCCTTCCATAACTGCTCCCTAAATGTCCACACAAGTGGCAGCTTGCTGTGAAGATTAAGTGACCGTTGATAATGGAAGCTCACCCTGGCATTGTCAGGCTGGCCTTATTCCCTTGCCAGCCTGACAGTCTGGATGGAAATCAGCACAGAACATGGTGTTTCTGCTCAAGATCACACTCTTAGATTATGTCTGTACCAGCAACCTTGTTAAATGGTTTTTCTTTTCATTTCATGTCAATTCATCCCTCCCAGTACTACTTTTTGTATATGGTGAACTTCTCCTTCTTGTAATTTGGGCCTTAGGGTTGTTGTTGTTGTTTAAATAATGTTTTTATTAATTTGGTCTCCTTAAGCAAGAGGCCTCTGTTCCTACAGGTTCCTATCAACCTGGCGGGTATGCAACTGCTAGTAGGAAGACATAACAGGTCCTTTTTGCATTTGCCTGCCACTTTGGATTTTCTCAGTGTTCGAGTCGAGGCAGTTTATTAAGTCCACAGCAAAACGGCATCCAAATAACCCGGGGCGACAGCAGGCTGAAACCGGGCTGACCACTGAAGGGAGGTAATGTAATGCAGAATGGGGGGAAACCCGGAATAAAAAGAAGGTTGAGCTCAATTTTAGTGCAGAATTGCTTGGAGGACACCATGGTGAACATGGATTAAAAGCAGAGTGCAGAAAGGGCCACAAGACTCAAAAGTTTTACTGATTCAGATTAAACAGTTTATTGGAAGGCATTACTGTACAATATACTACAGAAGCAAACTGCCAACTGAATCAGATGCATGATACAGAAATACATATGAAAAAGTCATGGATACAAAACCATCAGAAAGATGCAAATGATTACAAAAAACAATTTATTATTTATTTCATTAGATTTCTTGACTGCCCTTCCCCATTTGCACGGGGCTCAGGGAGGTTTACAACAGACTAATTCAGTACATTATAAAACCAATTAAAGCCATAAAAATTCAATATTAAAACATTCAAACATTTCAGTATTGGAAGACATTTTAAGAACAAGATGGCATATCTAGCATTCAGTCATTGGGGAGATGTAAATAGATAAACAGGTTGTGATAAAACATGAGTAAATAAAGTACAATTTTAAATCAGTTCTAAACCAGTAGAGGACACACTAGACAGGTGAGATTATTTATATATCTAATTCTCAACAGTCCCCTCTACGTTTGGATACTTATTCCCACAGATAGAAGGCACAGTGTCCCCAATAGGTTTTTCTACAGACTCAGGGGACTCTGTGGGTCTGCAGAAAAATCCAAAAGGTTTTTTAAAAACTCAGGGAGTGTTGAATTCCCCCCCCAAATACCTTTTGAAATGGCCACCACAGGGATCTACTCCAGGCCCTGCCACATCGACAGTGAGAGATAAACTGGCTGATAGCCGGGGGGGGGGGGGGAAGCAAAAGCAGAACTGGAGCTGGGATTCGGGAGCATTCCTCCTGCCGCTAAATAGCAGGGGGGTTGGAGCCAGGCCTGGGACTAGGATTGCCCACTCCAGGTTGGGAAATTCCTGGAGATTCTGTGGTGAAGTCTGAGCAGTGCAGAGTTGGGGGAGGGGAGAGTTATCTCAACTGGATATAATGCTACAGAGTCCACCCATTTTCTCCAGGGGGACAGGTCTCTGTTGTCTGGAGTTCAGTTGTAATTCTGGGGGATTTCTAGGTCCCACCTGGTGGCTGGAGGTCCCACCCTCTGGGTGACTTGATACCACCTGACTTGCATGATTCAACTAGGCCTAGCAGCCACCCTATGAAAGTCAGTGTAGTGTAATGATCAGAGCTTCAGAGTAGGGTTTGCAAGACCCAAGTTAGATTCCTATCTTGCTGCAGAAACTCACTGGGTGATTTTGGACCAGACACATACTTTCAGCCTAACCTACCTCATAAAATTGTTGTATGGATAAAAGGAGGACAGAATAATGTCAACTGCTTTAGTCCCCACTGTGGGGAAAAGACCATAGTTTTCTTCAGTAAAAGCTGCAGGGGGAAAGGAGATGGAAAGCTGAAGACAGAGGGGCAGATAAAGGTAGGTTGGCTGTTGGGTGGGAAGGAGATAGGGATGCCAACTCCAGGTTAGGAAATTCTTGGATATTTGAGGAGTGGAGCCTGGGGATGGTGGGGATTGAGGCAGGGAGGGACTTCAGACAAATATAATGCCATAGACTCTACCCTCCAAAGCAGTCATTTCCTCCAGGGGAATTAATGTTGCCAACCTCCAGGTGAGGGCTGGAGATCTCCTGGAATTACAACTGATCTCCAGATGACAGAGATCAGTTTCCCCCAGAAAAAATGGCTGCTTTGGATTGTGGAATTTATGGTATTTTACCCTGCTGAGGTCACTTCCAAGCTCAAACCTCATCCTCCCAAGGCTCTACCCTCCAATCTCCAGGAATTTCCCAACATGGAGGTGGCAACCCTAAGAGGAACTAATCTCTGTATTTGGGCAATTTGGGCTGCCACTGCTGCTGTGGGGGGGAAGTAGATGGGAGACTGGGAGATTGACTGGGGCAGAAAGAGTGCTGGGGTGGGGGCAGAAAGGAAGTGACAGGCATGAAGGGAGGAGAGAGAGAGTAAGAAAAGAGGTGGCAGGAAGGTGGAGAGGGGGGGCTTCTCCAAGCCCCGACGGTCCCGCCATGGAGCGTCCCGAATGGGAACAAGATCAGCACACTGGAGCAAGCGTATGGTGATCAAGCTATTTTAAACGCAAGAGGACAATCGTTGAAAATGTGAGTCTAAGTATAAGCGAAAACACTGAAAAATAGTGTGCCCCCATAAAAGAAAATGAGGGGGGAGGGGACTCCCCCCTGTTAAGAACTGTTTACAAGCAATTCCGAAGCCAGAAAAAGGGGGGGGGCTTACAGTAAAAAGCAATTGGACTGAAATAAAGAGACTGTGAGAACTTACCGCATTGTATAAGAGCCTCCAGAGACTTTGACAAACTTTTAACAAAAGTAAACAATTCTCAAACATGGCACCGCCTGTGAAGGATTCTAAAGACAAACAAGCGAAAGTTAAGCTTCCTGTTGGAAATTCCAACCCTGCGAGTTCTGTTCCTAGACAGGACTCAACTACGGAACTCCAAAGGTTGCTGTCAGAAGCGCTTTGCCCCCTGCTGGAGAACATCCCTGCTATTGACAATAAGCTCGATGCACAACAAGCACAAATGGCTGCGAATACACAGAAAATCTAAAAAATGCAGGAGCTTAAAGAGATTGATTCCAACTCAAAAAAGATGAATAAAAAACTGCAGGCATTGGGGGGAAAGTGCCAAATCAAAGTGTCTCGTGTACTGCAGCTGCAAATGGAAAGGGCAAGCTATGTCTTGAGACTTCAAGGTATCCAGGAAGAAGAAGAGGAGATTGGATTTATACCCCGCCCTTCACTACCCAAAGGTGCCTCAGAGTGGCTTACAAACTCCTTTCCCTTCCCCTCCCCACAACAGACACCCTGTTCAGAATTTATCAGAAAGAATAATCTGCCAGGGGAAGTCACAATAAGATTCTCCCGAAGAAAAGTGAGAGATCAACTATTGAAAGCAACCAATGGTAAAAGACAAAGACATAAAAGTTTTGAAAGACGTTCCATTCAAGAAGAGAAGGAAATATAGAGACTTGGTTTCATTTCTACAAAGTCACAACGTTTCCTACAGATGGTTAATACCCAAAGGATTAATATTCAGATATGCAAATAGTAAAGAAAGGATTGACTCTGTTGAAAAGACCATGTTTTGCGTCAACATGGTCACCCAGCAGGAGAAGGAGTAACCGATGGCTCCAAAGAGAGTGAGGAAGAAGGGGAGGCTAGATCTTCTGATGAGGACTCAGACTCTAAATTGGGGGCTGTTGGCCCTAAACCAAGCTATCAATTGAGACACAGAAAGGGGAAAAATAGATTGTTAATGCACTCTGGAGTACCTAAAACATGCTTATTTTATATTGATATTCACAGTCTTTTTATGAAGTTAGAATTGTTGGTGAAAGGTCGAAATGTTTTACCAGTTAGATGATCATTTTCAACTAAAGTTAACTTGCATTTAAGAGGGAAGGTAATTCTGTAAAATGTTTGTATGATCACCATTTCTTGGGGTTTTAGAGGGTTTTCTTTACTTCTCCTATAGATTGTAGTCCCCCCTTCATATTTTTTCTGACTGTAGTTTTTAGTTTGTAGTTATTAGAAAATGCAATAAAAAAATCCCCTATGGGGGGCAAACCCCCCCCCAAAAAAACCAATAAGTTGGATGGGAACATATAAACATTGTTCAAGCTTGCCGTATGTGTGAAATGATACCAAATAAGAGAGTATTATTTATGGGTCAAAAGTGTGGGACACCTCCAATATTCTTTAGTATCTTTTAACCTAGCTGTAATGAGATGGCTGTGTGTCAATCAAAACAATATCCCTCTCCTTTTGCTTGTGCAGCTTACCTTTTTCATCACATAGGTTGAGACCTACAGGGTCTATCTGAGTGGTTTCACAAACAGCTGACTTTTCTCTTGATCCCCCAGGTTTACCTGTACAGACACCTCAGGTTCTTTTCCATTCACTTTCATAAGGAAACTGTTTATTTTCAAAAGCTATACAGTAGAAAAATCCTGCTGTGGTGTAGTGCCACCATGGTTCAGATCTCCAGGAAGGGAGATTTTGTTGTTGTTGGGTTGTATTTTTTAAAGGAAACCTCTTCCTGAATGCAGAAAGAGGTTGACATGACCACATTGGTAATACTTTCAGAATGCTCTCATATTTCTGGATTTATCTGTAGATTCTGAAGGTCACCTCCAACATACCAATATTTGTTCAGGAACACTTGCACAAATCATGTTCATAAATGCACACAGAGAACAAATGCCCGTCTACAAATAAGGCAGGCACAAGTAAGACAAGCAAGTTCCAGGATTCTTGGCATACTTTTGAT